AAAGTGTACTGTGGGAACATTTGCAGTGGTCATCTAACTGTTAGAGGTGCTGGCCAAGCTGTCCTGAAGCATCCCGGAACCATCTTCCAATTAGAATTCAATTCCTGTGCTCGTCGCTCTAGGAAAAGAATGCGCTCTGCAGGCCAGCACACATAAGCATCCTGACCTCCTGGCAGCTTCACTTCTCTCTGTAAATGTGCTTCTGGTAACAATTGGATTTCCCATTCGGCTTGCCTAGAAAAAGAGTACATCATCCCAAGGATGTGAGTGTCCACTCCTCTGATGCTGCAGATTTTATTGTCAAATTAATGAACTGTCTGGTATTTTAAGGTCTCAGAGTCTGATCCGTATGCATCCGGCCCTGAAAGATGCATTCATCCTTGATGTGCTGACAAATCAAAATTCCAAGGCTGCAAGGCCAGCCCTGAGCCCTGGAGAAATGACCAGGGTAATGTGAGCGCTGGGAACCTGCTTGGTAGATGCCAGCCTCTCCCAGGGACATGCTCCAGGGACATGCTCCTGCACTGTGTGCTGCTTTGATCTTCTACATTCCTCAAAGGTGGGACCATGTCTTAGGCTTCCATATCTGAGTCATCTTCTCACACCAATGCTACAAAGTATTTTGGTTTTAACAGGTTGGTACTTTGATTTCTTTCACTCTCTCCTTCAACCACATCAATAGCTAGCTGTGGAGGAGAGGGAGGTAAGTCAGGTGCAAAGAAACTAAGAGGCACTTTTTAAAGGAAGCCCGAACACTTGAAACAATTCCTCAGCTGTTTTTAAAAGATCACAACCTTCCTCACACATTCAACAGTGTTGACTTGGTGTTTTGCTTTGGCCTCAGATGCCATGGGTCCGCAGCCTGCCAAACACCTGAGAATGCCTTCTAGGTGACATACAAGTCCCCGACTCCTTCCCAGAGGAACACACAGTTTATTTCATCTCCCGGAGCTTCACTGTCAATCACTCTGCTAGAGCGAGGAATGGCAGACTTTCCCTGGGAAGGTTCGCACAGTAAATATTTGAAGCTCAGGAGATTACAAGCCTTGGTCACAGCTGCTCCATTCTTCCACTGGGGTGGGAAACAGCCACAGACAATATGGAACCAAGTAAGTGTGGCTGTGATCCGATGAAACTGTTTATGAACAACGAATTTCTGAATGGAACAGAAATGCCGTGGGTCACAGCATATTACTCTTTTTTGGATTTACTGCCAAGCAACAAGAAACTAGAAACCATTCTTAGCTCCGGAGATGGACAAGCAGCTGCCAGACCTAGCCCACAGGCCACAATCTGCCAACCCTGCTCCATTATGACAAACGACTGGCAATGATTCCCCAAACAAACGTGACCACATGTAGTCCCTGTCCCTTCATAACACTGCCTTATAACCACCAGATGTATGATGCAGCAAACTTCAGACCTAGTGAAAAAAATAGTTTCATTAAAATGAAACAATAGCATACTTTCTGAAAAGTGATGCCTTACATATCTTAAATCCCAAATAGTAGGAGCCATGTAATTCATTCCTAGTTAATTATGCCTGCTCAGAAAAAAATTATATATATAAATATATATATATGTGTATATATGTGTACACACACATATATATAAATTTTATATATATACATATGTGTATATATATATATTTGGCATTCGTAGCTCTCATCTCCTCCATTGTCCAAACCATGAATGGCTGAGTCATAAGAAGCTTTTTTTCCCCTTTAATCTAATTTTCACATCTACATGTTTTCAACTCCCTTTGCCACATACAAGTTTATGCAGTATTGTGCTGTCCTGAACACACATTTCCAAGGCTTTGGCTTCCTTGCTTGCTGCTTTATTCCAGCTCCCACTGAACCCTTCTTTCCTTCTACATATTTCCTATTTTCACTCCTCTTTTATTTCCAGTTCCCACGTTCCGCTTTCCCTAGCTGTCCACAGCAGCTGTCATTTAACTACACGTCCCATTTCTGTTCCTAGTAAAAAGGTCCCAGAATTATACCCCAAATTGTCCACCATGCCATCCTTTCTTTTGTGCACGTGCGTGCTTGAAGAGCACTTGTATTTACAAGTTTTACAAAAACAGAACAGGCTGGGTATGGTGGCTCATGCCTATAATCCCGGCACTCTGGAGGCTGAGACAAGATCAAGGAGAGTTCGAGGTCAGCATGGAACACACAATGAGTTGAAAGCCAGCCTGAAATACATAGCAAGGGTCTGTCTCATACAAGCAAAAAAAAAGAACAAAAACAAAAAGCAAAGAGAGTACATAGTCCTATATTCTAAACTTGGTTATGAGAGGAATTTTTGGTGGGAAAGAAATTAGCAGATTCCTGAGCTATATCTTTGTGTCTTTGCTTAAACTGCTCCTCTGCCTGGCATGCCCTCCCTGTTCTCTGCCTGGTGAAATGGCCCTTAACGGGTAGTCCAGGTAGAAATCCATGGCAAGCATCCCTGGCAGACCTGATGACTCGCCCTGCCCTTCTGCTTTCCCAAAGCTCTTGCCACACCTCGCTAAAGCCACTTACAACTGAAATGCACTCAGTTGTTGATGCGGCTGTCCCACCACTAAATCCCCACTCTCCAAGTCAAGAAGCAACTCTCATTTTGTTGTTGCTGTTGTATCACCTCTCTTAAAAAATAAACAGACAAAGGGGCTGGGGATTTAGCTCAGCAGCATATGCACCTGCCTTGCAAGCAGGCGGTCGTGAGTTCAATCCCCGGTACCGATAAAAATGAAAAAGACAAATAAAATAAACAGACAAGCATATGGTGGCACACACTCATGGACCCAGCCACTTAGAAGGAGGATGGCTTGAGTCCAGAAGTTCAAAGGGCAACATGAAGAGACACTGTCTCAATAAGTAGATAAATAGATAGACAGACAGACAGACAATCTAAGTAAAAATGCAACCTCAAAACATCCCCCAAGGCCCTCTTACAATAAGACTATAACTCCTTATCCGCTCTTCATAGAAACTCTGGCTCCAACACCATAGGACAGGCAAGGTTGTCTTTTAACACCACAAAATACAATGCTTGCACAGCACCTAGCAATTTTGAAAACACTTGCATGTTTTTCTCTTCCTCTTGTCCACTCATCCCAGAAAAATAAGTGTGAAATAGTCCTACCCACATTGGCTGGACACTCTAGGAGGTAAAAGTGACAAATCCATCGGAACTAGACACATCTCTGGGCCTAAAATCCTTAATTTATTAATCTGTCCACAATCACCTGCACTCCACTAATACTAGCCTAGTATTTTGGGAGAGTTTGTTTTTGTCCAGAAGATTCCCCCCACCCCATTATGAACGGTGGCATTAGATTGAGGCACCGTGCTCTTAAAATCCATTCCAAACAAAATCATTTAGGCAGAACCACACGCTGAAAAGTAGGCAAAATCAAATATGCCCCCATTTATGTCAGTATCGTCTGATTTTACCATAAGTACTTATCAACTGCAGGGTTTCTAGTGAATTACCAACTGTTCAAAAAACGACATGCCACGCATTTCTATAAATAGAACTATGTTATTTATTATCTAAAAATTTCACTCATGAGGAAGCACTACTATTTCTAGATTAAATATAGGATCTTGATTGTCTCTTGTTGTATAATTCATTTTTCCTAAGCTATTAAATTGAGATTACTTATCACATTAGCAGGCTCTACACTTAAATGTGCTCTTCCTGCCCCTGCATAATTCTGTATGATTTAACCATCGCTTCAATTGTCTTACTATTTACTGCTTGTAAATCTCGCACTATTAGTACATATCATTTTACACATAAATGGGGTAATGCCTGCCAAAAAACATTGCTACTGTGTGGTGACTAAAAGTCAAGATTATTTTTCAGATATATCAAGTTATTCAAATTAACTACATTTAGCTTTCCTCAAATTATTTAATTTTTTTCATCAAAGGCCTGTAATAGAGTATGCACAGCATGTCACACTGAAGATTCTTAAGTTCGAGCTGGTTACAAATCTGCTAATTGAAAATTTTTCAATATGGCAGAGCACAAAATACTTCACACGAAGGCAGAGATGTCATGCAGATAGCTGCAAGATATGAATCACTGCCCTTCTGCATCAAACTCCGAAATTCAGAGGCAGTTCACTCTGCAAGATTTCTTGTTCAGTTCTTAAAACTTCAGATGCCTCTCCTTTTAATCAGGGTAATAAACTGTAATTGCTAACATACTGTGTAATGTTTACTGCTAAACTTGCAGTCTGGACAAACAGAAAATTATGCTGTCAGTGCCTGGAAACAACTGCAATCCACTGCTAGATATTATACTACCTTCCTTAGAGCTGTTCCCAGAGTGGCATGCTTTATGGTTTTATTTATTTATTTATTTATTTATTTATTAGAGTTAAGAGTCTTTTCCCAAGAAGCAGAGACTAAGACAGAAAGCAAGTCTCCCGCGTGACCTTCTAGCTCAGACCTTGAGCCAGCGACTGTGGGGCACAGAACTGCGAATTTCAGCAAGGAACTGACATCTCTGCTGCAACCTTCACACTTTGTTTTCAGGAACGACAACAAACGAGTGTTACTCTGCACCTGCCTGAACCCCCGCCCCTCCTGAAAACTTAAATTGCATCTACCCCGATGGTCTGAAAGGCGGAAGCCGGTGTGTATCCATCCTTCCTTCCGTCCCGCGCGATGCAGAGAAAACAAACCCCCACCGAATAGCGGAGCCCGGGTCGCGATGGGGCGCAGGGGCCGAGGCCAGGCGGCTGCTGGTCCCCGCGGCGCCGCGTCCTCCCCACCACGTGCAGCGATTGGATGCTGGTGGCGCCCCCGAGAGGCGGGGTCTGTGTCCCCGCGTCCCAGACCCGGACCTCGGCCCCCTTCCCCGCCCGGAGACCCCGGCCCCGCAGCCCGGCCGCGCTGCGCCCCGGTACCGGACTGCGGCTCCGGGTGGCGGTGCCCGCGGGGGTCTCGGGGCCGGGGCGGCACCGCGGAGCCCGCCGGGGACCCGGCCCGAGATACCTTTTATCCAGGCAGGCGATCCACTCGGCGGAGGAGGAAGAATGGGCAGCGTGCGCAGCGACCATGGCTGCGGCGACCTCGGCGCGCGCTCTGCCTCCGCCTCCGCCTCCGCCTCCGCCCGCGCCCCGCGCGGACCCCGCTTCCTCCCGCGTCCTGCGGGCCCGAGGGGCGGGACGCGGCGGGCGCTGCACTGCGGCGCCCGGGGGTGGGGAGCCCCGCGGTCCCGCCCGCCGCCGCCGCCGCCGCCGCGGGAGGGGGAGGTGGCGACACCTGCGACAGGTGGCCCTGCGTCCCGGGAGGCCTGGGCCCGCCCTCTCCTGGGCCTCGGCGGCGGGAGGGACGGTGGGCGCCGCCGGGCGGTGCGTGTGGGGAGGGGATGTCAGCGTCTATATGTTTTTCATACCGCAAATGCCACTAAAATGGCTGCTGCCTCTCTGTTTCCTTAGAAACCCATTAGTCTTCCTCAGCAGCTGTCAAAACTTGCTGGCGGCTTCTTGCTCACCTTCGGTGTCGCCCCTGGCTGGTGGGGAGGGAACGCGGGCGTGGGTGGGGGCACCGCGGTGTCTGCGGGTGGAACCCAGGAGACGGTTTGTCCCGAAAGTTGAGACTGAAGTAGGGGGAAATGGGGCGGGGGGTGACAGGCAGATGGCAAACTGCAGTCACTGGCCTTGAACCCTGCACTGGCTGGGCCTCCACCACGCTTGATGAAGAGAAACACAACTAAAGGTGGAGAGAACTGGCACCACAGCAGAGGCACCGTTGCAGGACTCGGGTCACGTCCCGGGCACTGCGAACCCGGATGCCTGGCCCAGTGCCCTGACCTTCACCTGGCTGCAGACTTGGCAGTGGGCACAACCCTGGCTCTAGCGAGGGATCGCAGCAAAGGTGCAGCTTAGACGTTCGTGCAGTCCACCCAGAATCAAATGCGTGCATGTGGTTGTTCACGAATTTGGGGACCTGTTACGTCTTGTAGCCGGCTGCCAAGCGCTGTTTTGATTTTTACAGCCTATGTTTGGGAATAGACAATGAGGGAAAGGACACAGTGCATTGCTTTCATCATCTTCGTTTTGTTTCTCTCCTCCCCAGCCCTGGACAGGGGAGATTCAAGGACCCCGGGAAAGAGAAACAGCGGGTCCTTTCTGGAATGTTTTTATTCTAATGAAACAACCGGATATTAGAGCCCTCCAAAGAATCTGCCCTTTCCTGTGCTCCATAACAAGGGTCTTCCTTCAGAGGGAACCTGGTATCCTCCGAGCAGCACCTCTCTGCTCAGGGCTTTCTGACCTTCACCTTATTAATTGGTTTAAGATAAATAACATTTAATATACCATAAAAAATTCATCAAAAATATTTATGTCGTAGCTGTATTGATTGTGCAGGTATGAAAGAGGAAATGTATTTGCGACATATTGTTTTGTTTTGTTTTAGAGACAGGGTCTCATTATGTAGTTCTGGTTGACCTCCGGGCAATCCTCTTGCCTCCACTTCTTAAGGGTGTGCTCCATCATGCCTGGCTATAAGTCTTATTATAAATAAAAGACATCAGAAGCTAGAGCTACTGGAACATTTCAAGGTCACCAAAAGCTGGCTCAAAATGCTTCAGAGACTGTTTCTCTAGAAGAGAAAAAGACAGCATGTCACCTGTCACCCTGGACTCAGAATGACCATTGTGATCTATAATATTAGTAATATTTGCCATTTATTGCACATCCGCTGAGGGGCAGACACTGCAGTGTTCTCTCTACAATGTGTTATCTCATTTAATCTTCAGAATATCCTAAGAGGCAGAGACAGAGGTACACTGCTCATACGGAGTGATAGATATCTTTAGAAATGTACTGAGATAGTGAAATTATATTTATCAGCACTTTCCAGGGGAGTGTTGATGGGGTTGGAAGACACTGACGCCAGCTGGCGGCGGGTGGGAACCCAAGGATTTCCCCTGCATTCTTAGTAAGCAGGTCTGGTGAACTGCAGGCCTTTGCAATGCTGCAGGACACTGGCTTTCCTCTGAAGGAAGGCTGAAGAGTGAAAGCCTATGCTTTGGAAGGAGAACGTATGTCCCAGCCCTGCAGGGGAACACTAGGAACCCAAGGTTCTCACTGGACACTGAGCCTCGGGAAGGATCCTTAACCAGGTGCTGACTGACACTGGGGCCCCGAACTGCAGTCTGGTGCATGTGGTTCCAAAGCCCTTGACACTTATGATTGTGTCACTCTTACTGTCGGAGGAATGAGAGTAGAGAGCGCACCAGCCGGTCATCAGTTATCAGTTGGTAAGAACAGAGAAACTCCTGAAGTAGAAAAGATAAAAAGAGAGAGACTAGGCGTGGTGGTGCATGCTTGGAATCCCAGCACTCTAGGAGGCTGAGGCAAGAGGACTGGAAATTCAAATCCAGCCTGGGCTACACAGGGACTTGGTGAGATTCTATCTTAAACTAAAACTAAATAATTTTTTTAAAAGTTCTGGGGTTACAGCTCAGTGTGAAGGCCCTGACTTCAATCTTCAGTCTCTCCCTCCATAAAATATCCTGAAATATCAAGAATACCGCAAGTACTCTGCAGAATTATTCTAAAGATCTAAAAGGTACTTGCTTGTTTGAGAGCTATAGAAGTGAAGGAGAAGCTGTTGGTAATAAATAATATTATCGGAAAAAGAAAGCCAGAAATTGTTCGCATTTTCATGGGAAAGACAAGAATCAAAACATTTTCTTTTCTTTAAAAGAACATAGAAGACTGAGATAATTGTGTGTGTTTGTAATCCTAACTACTCAAGAGGATGAGGCAGGAGGATCGCAAGCTTGAGGCTTATGTTCTACCAATCTAGTAACAATCACTGAATAAATCTTTGCAACAAATTTTATGCCATGCTAATGGTATCTCAATAAAACTATTATAAAGTAATAATAAAAATAATAAACTTGTAGGAGAAAAAGTATTCGTTGATCTTATGAGAGAAAACAAGAGCATGGGAGAAAAAGTAAAAGATGTTCATTGGAGCTGGGGATTTAGCTCAGTGGCATAAGTGCCTGCCATGCAAGCAGGCAGTCATGAGTTCGATCCCTGGTACCGATAAAAAGGAAAAAGACAAAAAAAAAGATGTTCATTATTCCTCCAGCTAGAGATAACATTCTAATGTTTTAGTACATTTCACTCTAACTTTTCTATTTTAAGATAGAATCATATAAACACATATGTGTAATTAGCTGTTTACATTCACTCATGTATGTACTTATATGTATATTCCTACAGATGTGAAAACATTTAAGACATAGTCTTTTTGTACTTGGAGTAAAAAACTGCTTTAAGTTGTTTAAATACTTATTAAAAACCTTTACATCTACACCTGTTTTTTTCCATTGGCAAAAAATATTTTCTACTTACTCTCATTCTTATAGTTTAATAAAGGTCTATACCAGGAATCGCCAGTGAATTGAGAATAAGTTGTTATAAGACTCATTTCTAGGGGGATTTAGCTCAGCAACATAAGCACCTGCCTTGCAAGCAGGCAATCGTGAGTTACCAAAAGACTCATTTCTTTGGTACCATGTAGGCCTTTAAATAAACTGCTGCTTTAAATAAGCTGCATTTTGTGCATCTGAACGGAAGTTCAAATTTAGGAGTTTGGAGACAGAAACCAAGTTCAAATTTCAGCTCCACCATTTCATTTACGCATTTAGCCTTAGGGCCAGGATGCAGTCAGTGGTAAAAATACAGCATCTGCCTCGCAAGTATGAGGCCCTGGGTTTGCTTTCTAACACACGCACACACAAAAAAAACATTTAACCTTAACTGAAAACTAAGTATATGACTTTTTTCATCATTTGTAAAGTGAAAAAATTAATAATATTTTATGTGAACACCACGCTGTAGGATGTTTAAGTGCCAAGTAGACAGAGTGCGTTTGATAACTCTCACTCATTATTCTCTGCACAATACAGATACACAGAAGTGCCCTCTGTATTTCACAGGTACTCAGTGACAAGCAACTGAGATTACCTCTACCAAAGGACCGTCCTTAATATGTGTCAACTGCTAATTTTGTTTGTGAAGAATACAAAGGATTAGTTTCCCTGAGAAATACTAAAGCTGTTTCAGATTTGGTGTCTCAGTCTAACTTCATTCATTCTATGCCTGGCTGTGCTGTTCCTCACATGAGAGCTACTTGTGTATAGCCCTGGGGAGTTGCTGCAGCATAAAGATTAGCAGCACAGTAATAGAAATAAGGTAGAACCCTACATTCCCCTGTCCCTGGTAATCTGTCACAGATGGGACATCCATTCATATCATGTTAGCATACATGACTGTGGAGGCTGAGAAGTCTTACCGTATAGTCTAGCTAGATGGTGGAGATCCAAAAAAGATGGGTTTGAGTTCAAAGCCCTAGGAAACAGGAAAGCTAGTGATACCAATCTCAGTTGAGGTCAAGAAGGTAAGACATGTCAGTTCAAGTAGTGAGATAGGAAAAAGGAAGAAAATCTCTTCTTTACCCTTCTTTTGTTCTGTTGAAGTCTTCAACTGATGGAGTGATGCCCACTCTTAGTGGAATGGGCAGTCTACTTAACTGAGTCCCCTGAATCAAATGCTCACCTCATCCAAAAAGATCCTCATAGACACATACAGAACAAGTGTAATCTGGGCACACACACCCCCCCTGCTCCCCCGCCGCCCAGTCAAGTTGACACATGCAGGTACCATTACAACTTCTCACCAAGTTCTGCTCATTTTCAGCTTCCTGAAAACTCCCTTCTCCTCATTAGAGTAAAGGGTCTTAGGCTCAGTAGCCTGGTCTTAGTATTTTGATCAAGAGACTGCATGTTGGCGTTTCACTTTGGAATCTTCTACTCCTGCCTCAGTGCTTCAGATGGAATTTGCAGTTTAACATCTGTGACTTAGACTAGTGAAAACTGAATCAAGTCAGCTTTGACATTTCACATCTCCAACATTCATTCCTACTCAACCAAGAAAATTGGCTTCCCGGGTAGGGCCATTCTCCTGGGAGCTGCAAGGAATCCCACATTCATCAAGAGAGTACAGCACTGTGGGCCCTTGAGCTTTCTAAAGAAAAAATGAGTAGCTAAACCCAATCAGAAGAGCCCCAATTTGTGGGTTATAGTAAAAAGGTTGTGGTTTTGCTATAAAACTTTTACAGCAAAACTTTTACAGTAAAACTGTAATACTTTTGGAGAAGTA